GATGTTACCGTTGCCTGATCTACGACTTCATATTCGTCACATTGCATGGCCTGCTTACTTCGCAGCTAGTCTTCACTATAGGTAGTTTTGCTGTCTGCCGCCTGTAAATAATAAGCAGCCCAAATTCATGTTAACAAGCAGACAATGTCTTCTCGGAATTATTGTAGTCCTGGTTAAAATGTGCGAAAGCATTAGGGGAGTGGAGGTCATACCATCGGCGTCTTCCTATGTTTAATGCCATGCCTCATTTAAACAAGTGATTGATCAGCGCCAACAGGTGCTCCTACGGGTTCTGTTTTTTCAAAATCCATTTTGACGCCTGCCTCTCCCGTCTGCAGGGCCCCAGAGCGCCGAAGCCAGTGCCAACCAATGACAACTACCAAGACCGGGCAGCCAAGCGTCGCCTAACCGAAAAGCAAGAAGGCAGTAAGGCCAACGGTGGAGATTATGCCGGGGCTAAATCCTCCTGTCGACCTGTTCAGGCCAGTGTATTTACGCCAATCGACGAAGAGAACGTCGGTTCACGTCTCCTAGCTAAGATGGGCTGGAGTCGCGGTGAGGGTCTTGGCAAGGCCGGAAGTGGGATTACTGAACCGGTGAGTCCTTTCAGTCAGTAATGCATACTCATCTCCCTCATTTTTACGGCTACCCTGCTTGCATCGGCTATAGAAACTCTGCTTCAGAAGGGGGTAGTTTTCCAGATGTGTGTTTGCCTGGCGACTTAACGCAGCAGTCTTTATCCTTAGGAGTTTGTCGCATAACGTCAGCCGTTGAGGGCGGTTGAAAAGCAGGGATACTTTCATTTTTATTTTTCTCCAATAAGCGAAGAGTTCATTGATATTTTAGTGTTTAACGTTATGAATTTATGCTCGTCAGAATTTAATGTGTTGATTCTAAATTAATTCCCTGGAATTTGAAGCTCCAGCTTCGTTTTTTTGATTTCAGTGAACGTTCTTGTTGGGTGCTACTAGCGTCAACCGAATAACTGAGCGCATCAACAAAAAACTTGCCGATATAAGTCTCTAGAGTTTCGGCTAACCCCTAAATATGATTGAGGATGTACGTGCTTAGACTAAATACTATTTGTTCTTTGCAATACTGTCAATCTCTGACCTTGTTTTCGAAAATCCACTGACAACGTAATTATTCTTTAAGCGATGTGAGCGAATTCATTTGAGCCACTTGCAAAAAACTCCTTGGCTTTGGAAGGATTTGAACTCTCGTCAGCAGCAGTGAGGCTTTAGTATCGTCAACGCTCTAGGCAACTGGGTTAAGAGGTCCTCGCCGGGAGCCGTGAGTTTAATCCCATTTGAGTCAAGTTGCCCCTCAGGCTACTGCAACGTATGGAATCTACCAATTCTAATATCGTAAACGGACTGCCTAAGCCCGAGGTCGGCAACCCATGGCTCGCGAGCCATATACGGCTCTTTTGAT